CACAGTCTCTTGAACAGTCTGGGCATCGGTTCCTATTTGAACTTTTAATATTACCCAATAGCATAGAAGATAACTAGAAAACTGTTTCTGCTATCTTTTTTGGCCTGTATTTAAATAATCTATTTTCTTAAAATTATGTTTGGCTACCTGAGTAGAAATGTATGTAAGCAAAGTACTCTCATAATCTACACTGAAGAGAACTTGAATAAAAACTCAAATGTACAATTAGAAGAAAACATTCAGGAACTTGACAATAAGAATGGAATTCTGTTCAATGAAAAACACATAGATAAAGTTATCAGATAGTTGACGAACTGATGAGATAGGTTGCATTCAGGGTGGTATGGCCATATTTGAAAAACTGGAAGATTTTTTTAAATAATCAAAATTAGCAAGAAGTCAGCATCTAGAATATAGAAAAAAGTTACAAATCCATAGAAAAAGATAAGAATCCCAAGATAAAATAAGGAAAAAACTAGGCAATTCAATGAAATCCAAATCTCAACTAGTAAGTACATGAAGAGATGTCCAACTCTTGATGTTCAACAGATTGGCAAAAAAAAAAAGAGTTAAGACAATTATTAATGAGATACAGAGAGAAGGGCACTCTTAAATAGTGCTATTCAAAATAAACACTGGTATAACAACTGTAGAGAGGAATCTGGGAATTACTCACTGGAAATAAATATGCTCCAGTAATCCATTCCAGGGATGCATCCCAGAGAAACTTGAGCCCAGGTTCATAAAGGGACAGGCACAAAGATGTCTATTGAAGCAGAAGGTTAGAGGAAACTGGATGTCCATCACTGCAGGATTGAGTAAATAAAGTCTGGTGTATGCATACAGTAAAATACTTTCCAGTACCTCAGAAGCAATAAACTAGTGTTATATATAGCAGCATGGGTGAACCTCTGAAGGAATATTTATTTTAAACTTAAAAAACTGAATGAAGGCTACAGTATAATGGCATGTATGTAAATTAAAAACAGATGCCTCTATAAAACAGTATGTTTAAAGGAACCACATATATCCAAAGATATCTGAGAACTCAGAGCTTAAACACATTATTAAGATGCTTGTAGTGAGGAGACTGGTAAATACAGTTAAAATGGGAAGTAAATGGCAAAATAAAAAAAATGAGTAAAAAAAGAGGCATCTTTGCATGCACTAGATATTAACCTAGCTGATGTATGTGCTGTGTACGAGGAAGTATTACTAATTGTCCTGCCTGTACCTGAGATTACAATGTGTAAATTACAAAAACATAATGCCTGTATTTTGTAACTTAATTAGAAAAAAAAATGTTACAGCATGGACTAAAAATACAGAGAAAGTCCTCCTTGTTTACAGACCCTCACAGTACATGCCAGGCTTGCATTTGTTTCTTTTTTTTTTATAATGATTTATTTTTTACATCAGTGTTCATTTTTAAACAATATTTGCGTCCCCCCCACGTGTAGCACCCATAGAATTTCCTTCACCCATGCACCCGTGCACCATCACCTCAGTCCCCTGTGCTCCTCCCCGCCTCCTGCTGATATCTCTCCCTCCTCTTCCCCTGAAGGATGTCTCTGGTTTATAATTGTCTGTTTTTGTTTTGTTGTGTTTTGTGTTGTTATTATTTGACAAGCTATTGCTTCCTCATCCTCAGTGATCTTCATCTAACCAATGACAACCTTCAAGGCACAATTTAAGTTCTACTTCTTTATAAAAACTTTCATTTAGGGTCCTCCCTGGTGGTGCAGGGGGTTGAGCACTGCTCTATGAAACAATCCGCAGGCAGCCTCTGCAGCACGAGTTCAATTGCCAGCAGGCCAGGGAGAAACCACATGGCGCAGCAGACCTCTCCTGTCTCCCCTCAGCAGTGTATTTCGTCAGTCTGCCTGCTCTGCTCCCCACTCTGTCTGTGGTGAATCCTCTCACCACCCCCTCACCTCTGGCCGGTACCCCAGCTCTTGTATGCATAAATAAATCTTAAAAAAAAAACAACAAACTTTCATTTGGTTTTAATTTGTTTTTCAAAGAAGTCCTCATCCTCAAAAGAGAAAATCTTGCTGCAATTGCATTGAAGTATAACTTTCATTGTCACCCCCTTTACCCTGTCAACATTCTTTGCGTCCCTTTGATCCTTTTTCCCTTTACCTCCTTAACTTCAAAAATTTTAATTCATTTATTATCTTTCAATTTTTTTAAACAAGTATTTTGTTATAAGTAATTGTTTTTACAAGTATCTTATAATTATTATGTTAGTGTCCAATATTTGTTTTGGTCATTCTGACTTGCTTTACTACATATAATTCCCTCAAACTCCTTCCATTTTGCTATAAATGGTGATATTTCATCTTTCCTTATAGCTGAATAGTTACATCCATTGTGTGGATAAAACACATTTTCTTTCTTTCTTTTTTTAAGATTTATTTTTATTCATTTATGCACACAAGAGCTGAAGTATAGGCCAGAGGTACGGGCATGGGAGGTTGTGGTGGTGAGATGATTCACCATGACAGAATGGGAAGCAGAACAGGTGGATCTACTGAAATACACTGCTGAGGGGAGCGGTGGCCAAGACAGGAGAGGTCTGCTGCACCATGTAGGTTAGCTCCCTGGCCTGGGATTGAACTCATGCCACAGTGTCTGGCAATAGCTTGACAGTGCTGAGACTTTAACACCTGTGCCACCAGGGAGGTCCAAAACACATATTCTTGATCCAGTCTTTTCCTAATGGGCATTTAGGATGTTTCCATGTCCTTGTTATTATAAATAGTGCTGCAATAAACATTGCAGAACATACGGTTTTTTGAGTTGATGGTTTTATGTTCTTCAGATAGATGCCCAAGAGTGGGATTGCTGAGTAACACAGTATTTTCATTTTTAGTTTTTTTAAGGTAAATCAAGAATGCTTTCCAAAATACTGTAACAGTTTACATTCTCATCAATAGTATAACAAGTTTCCTCTTTCTCTGCATCCTTTCCCACACTTCATGTTAGGAGTCTTTTTAATATGCCTCATTTTCACAAGTGTAAGATGATTTATCATGGTTGTTTTGACCTGCATTTCCCTTATTAAAGGGATGATGAACATTTTCCTATTGTATCTATTGGCCTTCTGAGATTCCCTTTGGTTTTTTGTCTGTTTTTGATGAAAATTCTAACTTTGTTATGATTACCAAAAGTATAAGATAATTTGTATATACTCAATTGTGTTGGATCATTCCTCTGGTGGTTATGGAGGAAAGAAATGTCCTACAGGGTATAACTGATAAACTGAATTGGATTTTCACTGAGATTCTGACTCTCACTATACTGGGCTCTGCAAATGATCTGAATGAGAGCCAAAGGTTGTTTCTGAAATTGATTTTTCTGTAAGATACAATAGGAAGCTGTTGCTTTGAAACAAGATTTATGTAGCTTATTCAGATTTTTGAAGGGTGCAAAAAGAGATGTACATGGGCTCCAGGGAATGGTGGTTGAAGAAAATGCAATGCAAAGTTCATGGGTCAGGAATAACATGTACAAGACAAAGGTTTAATATCTGTTTCAACCACTTGTTTCAACTGCTTACTAGTTTTGCAATTTCCATCAAGTCAGTAAATATCTCAGAAACTTTGTTTTCTTTTTAGTGTGCTATAGATTTGGAAAGATATCTATTCATCTATGATTGTTATCAGCTAAAAAGATCACTGACAGCTAAAAAATTATGAACTCTAGAGCTCAGCAACATAAAAGAGAAACTGAGCTTCAAGTTAATAATAAAATGAGCCTAAAACATAGTAGATACTTAACAAATATTTGTTGAATGAATGCATCAGAAAAATGGAATAGAGAAATGAAGTCAGAATAGGGACCAAGATCAAAGAAACCTTTAAGTCAGGCATGTAGGAGCCACAGAAGGAATTTAGGAAGGCTGATGGAAAATCAGCCAAATCAATCTTTGGCTTGCCTTCAGTTAAAGAACATGTAGTGTATAAACTGCTAACTTTTGTATTTTCTTTCCATTACTAACATTTTATTACTAATACCAAGAAAAGTGGACTACTTCACACTTAGTCTAGTCCATGGAACTGCCAGGCATGGCTGTGATTTGGCCAAATAAGCCCAGTATCAATAAGACTTATTTATAGTCGCTAAATAAAACATTTAAAAGAACCTCAGTTCTTGTGAACTGTGTTAGATTGTTAGGTAAATGTTTCAGCTAGATTTGAAATTACCTTCATCACCGGAAGGTTTTGACAATGACAGAAACAGACTTCAATTTGTCACGAGTTCTAAGTGCTTTCCCTCCTCCCTCTTAAACTCCTTGATCATAGTTTTGATTCTACCTCATAACTTAGTAATCCAGCAGACTATTTTATTTTAGCTTAAGAATTATAAAGTATAGGACCAGGGTAGGCCTAGCACAGATGATGATGAAACAAGATTTAGGTTTCACTTCTAATTTAAGCCCAAGCTTTCACCAGGAGGAAATAGTTTTCAAGTGCTTAGCACAATCTCGGTTCCACAATTGCAGAGACAAAGCATGGTTTCTGCAGAAAGAGGGGCGCCTTACCTCATAAAATTGCGTGTGCATATAAAATTTAGGAAACACACTCAGGAAAAGTCCTGTGATCAGAGATACGAAAATGGAGTGTGGTGCATACAGTATGTGTAGGATGTGTTCGGTTGGTTTGTTTGCCTCAATAGTACAAAGAGCTCCCTACGCGAGAATGACAGAGAAACAGACCATGGGGAGCATCATCAGCTGCACAGATATTTTAAACAGAAGGCTAAGGCATGAGACAGAGAAGGCTGACGCCGAACAAAGGCGCTGTCGGCTGGCAGAAGGCAATCTGAAACGTTTAGGCTGACCGGCAGGAAGACCAAGAAAGCTCAGCGCTTGGGGGCGGCCGCGCCGCCACTGCGGGAGGCGTGCCTCCCCGAAGCCCCGCCCTCCTAAACCCCGCCCCCTCACCCTCGGACCAATAGAAACCCTGGATGTTAGCGGGTGGGAGGTGCGGCCGCGTTGCTACGGCGAGAGTTGGGCGGCGGCGGGCTCTGCCTGGAGAATCTCACCGACCGGGAGAAGGTGGCGTAATGGAGGGTATGGAAGGTGAGGAGGTGAAAGGATGCCGATCGGGCGTCTAAAGCGACCCCAGAGCTGCTGGGGGTTGTTGGGCACCGGCACCGGGGAGTCGCGGCAGGTCCAGAGCGGCGGACACCGCCGCGTCTCCAGCGGCCGGGTCCTGCGGGAGCCAGACAGCCCCGTCGCCGGGAGCGATGATCCCGCAGGCGGCCCCCCCCGACGGTCCTCAGCTGGGGTTCCCCACCCAGAGCCGGGTCCAGCCTGGGGACTCCGCCGCGAGCCCCTTCCTAGACCATTTTCTGGTCTTGCCTGACTCCTGATGTCAGTTTGGTGATCACAGCCCTCGATCAGGTTTTATTCTCTTGCAAAGTGGACTCTCCGTTCATGTCCACGGCCTGCTGCCGCCCGTGTTTCCAGGGGCCCGGGTGTGTCTCCAACCTCCAGCTTCTGACATTCTCCTTGGCCAGTTTTCCTTGATAACCAATTCCCCGTTTTTATGACATTTTCTATGGGAGGCATGCCAAGAGCATCTTCCAAGGAATTGTCACTGACCAGCTTTATTTCCCGGACAATAGACTAACAGGAGGATTTAATGGTTTTTTACGACGCTCAGTAAGGAAGAGCCGGCTTTGGGTTGTTATCTTTCTTTGGGTTTATTCTTATGTTGTAGCTATGACTCCAGATTTTGCTTTGTTCCCAGTTCTTTTACTTTTTCTCTGTTCTCTCTACCCTTTTTAGCCTGTGTAATGCAACAGTCGCTTAAAAACAACAAAGGAAAACGCCCAACAAGCATTGGCAATAACAGTTCCAAGAATATTTTTCAAATTGTGTTTAATCCTTCGGATGAGGAATAAGTCTTTAGAAGTGAAAGAGCCTATTGTTTTGATTTCGCCTCCCCCCCCCCTTAATTTAAATAGATTCAGGTTGCATTAAGCATAAGCTGTTTCATTAACCCTGTGCAATGTTGTTTGCTAGAGAGTGAAATATTTGAAGTGAAAAGTGGTTACCTGGTAACTTTTTGCAGTGACCTAAGCTCACCAATAAGCAGATGTAATAACAAGTACTAGAGTATTTCTTGATCTTGCTCTGAGGTGAAGTTCCTTTAGTAAATGAATACTTTGAGGATAATGGATAATCAGGAATTCTGATAATTTTCTTTTTGTGAGTAGCTGCAATATATTATGAACTGTGAATGTTTTGGTCTTGGCTTAATTTATTGTAGGCAGATTATTCGAATTTCCATAAAATGACAATTGTAATGACAACACTCCTTACTTTTCAGGTATTTTTATGTAGCTATCTCCTGGAGTTAGGGTTTTTGTTTGTTTCTATGAAGAGCAGATATCATCATCTCCTCACATTACTCTCCTAAATTTTTTGGCTCAAACATTTTTCTGGGTTTTACTAAAAACAATAAAGACAATTTTCAGATTTGAATTTGGGAAATTTTATTTCACTTCTGAGAGAATTCCAGTGGAACGTATGTTAAAACCCAGGGTTCCTAAGTTTGCATGGACCAGGTCTCTAGGAATCATCAGAGAATGAGATTCACTCAGACATAATTATAAACTGGAAGTTTAAATAGATCAGATTCAGCTTTTTTTTTTTTTAATAAACTTTGAAACTTGTGAAAGTATTATAGCACATTCAGTGGTATCATGGATTCTGGAATTCTCATAAAGTTAACATAATACAATAAAATACCTTAGCACAGTATATCTGCAGATATTTAATTTGTAATTAAGGTAAAGATCTTTATCAGGGTGTAAAATTCTGTATGCTAACCACCTAAAACAGTGTCTGACACAGAGTAGGTATTTAAAACTATTTGCTGTTAGCTAAGTGGCTTTTGTCTAGAGTTGCAGCAAAGAATAAAAACAGTCAAAGCCCTGCTCTCATTAAGCAAATGATTTAGTAAACCTTAATTTTAGCAGTAGTAAGACATTACTATTTAAGTCTTTACTAAGAATGCTTTCAAAATATAATGAAAATCTATTATAATACTCAATTATGTAGAGAAATACATGAATTCTCATGTAATATGGTGTGCCGTGATGGGCATGTTTTATGGGCCCACTTGTGATGTATAATGTTAAGCAATACTGTTCTTTGCTCATTTGATTTTTTTTTTTAACGAAAGGTGATACTGTCATTAACGATGATGTGTTTAATTATAACCAATTAGGTTGAAATAAATGGAATTATCCTTTTTGTGGAGAAAAATAATTGACTATTGGTAGTTACAAGTGGTTTAAACTGATAAAATAAAAATCTGAGAATTTTCTGTTAATGTTACTACATTGCCTTTCTTTCTTTTATTTTTTAGTCAGTCCCTATTAGTTTACCCTATGCCAAGGTCTGAAGTTTTAGTTTTAAGGTTAGCATTCATTAATTCATTCAGTCATTCCTTCATTCAATAAACATCGATACACTGGTGGATAAGTTCAAGTTTTTGCTCTATTTGAAGTTAAAGTCTACCATTTTCAAGGTATCTTATAATATATTGCAGTATCCAGTAGAATAAAAATAAATATTGTATTATTTGCCATTAGCCTCATGTTTCTAGTTGAAACCAGTTACCAGACTAATCTTAATTGTAAAACCAAAAAATAACATGGACACTTGAAAAATTTTATCAAAGATAATTGTACTCTTTTTTTATAACTTTAAATTATTTGCATGTAGATCATAAAGCACAAAATTTTATTTTGTCTAGTGTGACTTTTATGCTTCCTGGATTGTGAAGAAATGAACTATTGGATTATGTTTCAAAACCAAATCTTTATTACTGCTCATGATTTTGTATTGTCTGTATCTGAGCACTACTGTATGTGAGTAATCAGAGCTTTTAATTTCTTTTTACCTGAATCTTGTGCAGTATAGGTATATCTAAGGGCAACAGGAATTAGTTTTAGACTCAGCAAAGTTCTAATTTCTCATAACTTTCCAACTGTAAAATAGAGATATGATAAACACTATATTTTTATCCATATTTTTAGTATTCTCATTCTTTTTATGGCTTCTGATAAACAGTTATTAACAATTGTGACAGAGATCACGCTGCCCATTCCTCATTTGGACTCCTGAATTAATAAATCTTAGTATTGCCCACTAAAACATGATTAAAAGTCTGCTCTTTTCTAATTGAAAGGAGTCGCCCCTCAACCCCCTTTTAGAATTTCTTTTTTGTTTTATTTTTCCCTAGTCTAAATACATAGTACATCTTTATTAACTTATCTCACACTCAGTGGGTTTTTTGTTTGCTTGCTTGCTTGTTTGTTTTGGCCCTGAGTTGGATGCTAGGTAGTTTTTTTTTTTTTTTAAAGATTTATTTATTCATGCATACAAGAACTGGGGTATAGGCCAGAGGTGTTGGGGGTGAGAGGATTGACCGGAGACAATGGAGAACAGAACAGGCAGATTGACTGAAATACACTGCTGAGGGGAGCTGTGGGTGAGTCAGGGGAGGTCTGCTGCGTCAGTGGGTAGCTCCCTGGCCTGTGATCGAAGTTATGATGTAGTGGCTGCGAATAGCTTCATAGTGCCACGTCCTAACCCCTTGTGCCACCAGGGAGGCCTGGATGCTAGGTATTTTTAAATAGTCAGTGTATTGGAGAGGCCTTTCTTTGTTTCTTTTTAGCTCTATGATTTGGGTAGTTTACTTAATCTGAACCCCAGCTTCTTCAGCTATAAAATTTGAGCTATTAAATAGTTGAACTATGTTAAATTTTAAATAGTCATAAGGCATTTAGTGAAGTGCCTCACACATTGGAGGCACCCTCAGTATTTGTTTACTGAAAGGTTAAAAACATTGAAAGTGTTTTTACTAAGAGTAGTGCTGGGGTACTTTTAGTATTGTGGGCAGTCACTAGGTAACGTTAGCAGCAGAATAGGTTGAAGAAGAGGGAAATTGGAAACACATAATGTGATGAGCATTTGAGGTAAGGCAAAGTGACAGGAATTAAAAAGGGAAGATAGATTTAAAAGGCATATCTGTCATGGGAAAATGTGATGTGACTGCTGGATGTGCTCGGGAAAAGGAGTAAAAGATAAAGCAGTTTTGTAGCTTGAACTAGGAGGTCATAATAAAATCTTTAACCAAAGAGGAAGACCAACTTTGGGAAATGAGGTAATGCTTTTGGCATTAGGATTGTTGTATTTGTATAGTTCTTAGTGGGGAGTTGGTGAAAAAGTCTCTTAGGTACTTGGATATATCTATCTGGAATTTTTAGTTTAGTAGTCATCAGCTTGTAAATGAGAGCAAATGGAGGCAATCACCCAGAAAAACTATTTTTAACAAAACCAAGAAAGGAATTTTGAACCGATGATTTGGCTTGATCAGGAAAGAAAATTGAAGTCAGGAGGAGTCTTTAAGGAGTTTTAAAAATTGTCAAAAAAGGGAAGTAGAAGGAGAAAATAGTTATTTTAATGTTTATTAAGTAGTGACTATGTGCCAGAAAAAGCCTACCGTACCTAGTATTTTTGGATGTTTGAGTACTAACCAGGTCAAACCCTTCTTGGCCCATAAGATTTGAAAAACTTGGGTTTAGGAGAGAGAAATTTTGAAACCAAGAGAAAAAGAACAGAAAGGGTCAAATTATAATGGTCTATACCTCAAACTTATAATCAGAGTTTTGGTCTTATGTCAGGTGCTTAATAAATACTTGTATCAATGAATCTATTTTAATATAGTAGTTTGTCTGCAGTTCAGATAAGAGAGAATGAGAGTAGTGAAGACCTACTCAGTAAATGTAAATCGGTATTTCAAAAAGTGTGTTACTGAGACACTGGTTCTAAATAACTCCTAAGGGTAGAAAGGATATCTATTGGGGGAAATAACAGCACAGTAAATTTCTTTTTTTAAAAAATGGTTGCTTTTTTTTTTTTTTTAAGATATATTTATTTATGCACACAAGAACTGGGGCACAGGCCAGAGGTGTGGAGGGTGAGAGGATATACCAGAGACAGAGTGGGGAACAGAACAGGCAGACTGACTAAAATACACTGCTGAGGGGAGCAGCGGGTGA